CCGGGCTCTGATTGGCAGCTGCAGACCCCACTTTCACTGTAAGCCAATTAATTTAGTCTTTGTGTGCTTTTGTCTTCTGTGGTTGGATATAAAACTGTCCTCTGAGCTTTCTGACCCATCTCATGGCCTTTTGAACTGAGTTACAGAAATCTGCAGTGACCTCAAGAAAACCGCCCAGGAGCAGGTAGCAGATATCTGCAGCATCAGTGCCCCGAGCTCAAACGCTGCTTCAACATGTCTGTAACTACCTTTGGACTAGTCATAATAAAAGTTAGCGATATCTCGACCTTGCGATATCTCTAACCACAGTTTATTCATAGATATCTATAACTTGATAACAGATATCTGCAGCTAGACTATGACTATACATAAATGTAGTTTGACAGATCTACAACTTCAGTCTAATTCCAGTTCCAGATATCTACAATGTCATTTTGACTAGTTAAAGTGTAATTAAAGATATCTACAAATGCTCTTATAGATATCTGAGATGTTCATTTTGACCAGGAAGAACTGAATTGTGGGTATCTGCGTTACACATACAGACTAGTTATTAAATGTAAAAGAGCCGGCCGTAGAGAACACCCGGTTTATTATGTTAAAGTCATTCCTGGTCACACTCCTGTCAGAGCAGCACAGCCTCCAGCAGCAGCTACCAGCCTGCTGTGTGGGGCGTTCAGGGAGCGTCAGTAAATCCTCTATCGATAAGAACATGTTCAGCACGTTCTGCCTGTGACCAGGTGGGAGGTGGGACACAATGAGGAAGTGGGTCGTAGTGGTTCTGTAGAGCTCCTGTAAATACTGATGAAAGTCTGATGAGTGGGTTTGAAGTTTGTTCTGGTCGGTCTTGATGTTAAAGTAGGTGGTGATGAGAACATCCTCCAGAGGTGGACCAGTGGTGCCTGATGCTGCTCAAGTTCTGGTTTCTGATTCATAATTAAAGCTCGTTTGCAGACTGTGTTTCTATCATCTGGAGCCTTCAACACACTGAGATGAACCCAGCTCACATGACTGGAGCTCAGCAGGAGCTTCAGTCTCTGATGCTTCTGGTTGTTTCCTGTGAGCTGATCAGCAGCAGGACGAGCAGACAGAGATCTGCTGGAGACGTACGACTCACCTGCTGCTCACCAGACATTTACCTGTTCAGGATTAAAGACACACATCATGTGACTGCCATGTAATTAAATCAGGTGTCCTGTGATCCAGCTGCATTTATCACCACTGTTTGTCTGGTTCTTCTGTTTGACCTGCTTTGACCTTCAGGACCAGAACCACCATGAAACCCTGCTGCAGGTCCAAGTGACAGAACTTTAACAGAACCACCATGAGACCCTGCTGCAGGTCCAAGTGACAGAACTGTAACAGAACCAGCATGAGACCCTGCTGCAGGTCCAAGTGACAGAACT